TAGTTTAACTATGAGGTAATTAGCTAGTAATTGTTCAGTATAGTATATGTGAGTAAATTGCATAAGTATGAGGTATTTGATGAGTAATCATATGAGTATATATTAGGGTCGATAGGGTATGTAGGTAGGATAACCTTGTTTCTTCTGCAAATCTGATATTAATTCTGGTTACATCAATCAAGTCTTACTTACCTTAGTTATTATGAGCATATCTAAAAAGTCAGTTATTTTAGAAGATGAATCTTTGTCTACTAATAACAATATTGAATTAACACATAAAAATGATGGTAAAACAGTACAAAGAACTGCCCTAACTAATGTTGAATCAGTGCAAAAAGTTGCCTAGACTAATTTTGAGGCTAATTTGGCCATTTGTTAGTAGAAATGTTAAAGTTTTTATGTCATAAAATGGGTGTTCTAAGTCAGGCTTAAAGCAAGATTTAGTGGATTGTTTAGTTAATGAAAGTCAAAAGAGGCTTGTTTTATTGGCTTTAGATAGTTCTGGTAAAGAAAAAGAAGTTGATTTTGAGAATAGTATGAAGAAGGTATCTGAAGAAGGTGATAAGTTGAACTTTGAGTTAGGAAAAGTCTTTGCTAATGTTTTCAATAATGTTCTGGTGATGGTTGAGAATTTTTGAGACAAAAGGATATAATGATTGATCTTCATTGCATTTGTCCTTTTGATAACTGAATCACCTTGCATTTGGGATATTCAAGAAAGTTTATGAAGAAAACATGAATTGACCAAAGCAAGAAATCAATAGGAATATAATGAGTAGTATAAGGCAGGTTTGTTGTTGGATAAAGCTCTTGCTACAGGTGATGCTGAATATATACAACTGGCTAGATAAGTGGCACTTGAAAGGGCCTATGTTGTTAGAGTAGCTGATGAGGATGGATGGAATATGGTTGCTAAAATAGCATTTAGTGATCTGTTGGATTATATGTTAGAGATGTTTAATAATAAGTATAAAAAAGTAAGATTAACAGCACAACAGTTCCCAAGAAACAAAGTTCAAGAGTATCGTATAGGCAGAGTCAAATGTCTAATAGTCATCAAGGTCTTTCTTAGGCCTAAGTTTCTAGTTATTATATTCCTTCTTTTGTTCAGTCTTAACCTTTTGTCAATCTGAACTGGTAGTAATTTTCTTTATAGAAAATATTTATTCCTTCTCCAATAAATAATTATTGGAATGAAACCTTATCCTGTGACTTGTCTGGTCCTTATTCTAATCAGTATCCAATTCATAACTCTTGGTTTACAAATCCTTGGGAAGACACTTATGCACAGCAATCTTCTCAGAGTTCTTCTGGAACTTCATTTAGAAGTACAAGAATGCTTAATAGGTTGTTGTCTAAGCAAGTTATATATTATTTATATGAGGAAAAAGGTCACTATGCTAATGAGTTTGGGTTGAGAAAACATGTGAATTCTTCTTTTTGTAATGAAAATACTGGCTCCAAAAGAAGTTAACCACACTTAGATGAAGATATCTCTAGAGTTGAAAGATACAAACATGTTAGACAAGTCATAGTTGGTAATAAAAAGATTACATAGAGAATTGGGAGTTCATTATTGGAAAGAGGTTATAAAGCCAGCACCTGTTATGGTAGAATGGTTAGAGAAGAGAATCTCATTTTTTTCAAAAAGTATCATAAGGTTAGCATTTTTATTAGCATCCAATTAATGGCAGTTTATTGTAGAGGAAAAGAAATAGATAAAACAGGAATTGGAACAGTTAAGAATATCAGAAACAGTGGAGTTGGTTTCAGAAGTCAAATTAAAGTTGGACATTCTATTGGAGATGAGCTCAGTATTTGTAGTTTCCAAACAAGGTCCCAAAAAGTTCAGACTGGTTATCAACCTCAAAAGGTTAAACAAAACCTTACTCAGAAAAACCTTCAAGTTTGAAGAGTTGAGAACCCTGTTAAGAACAATAGAGAGAAATTGGTAGGTACTAACCTTCAACTTAAAGGAAGAATATCACTACCTATTGATGGACGATAAGGTACAGTATTTTCTGAAGTTTGTTTTTGAAAAGAAATAGTACTACTACAAAGTGATCCTTTTTGGTTTGAACTAGTCTTTCTTAATTTTTGTAAAGGTAATGAGGGTTTCAATAGGAAGTTAGAGAGCATGTAGTATTTTTTGCAAGAATTATCTTAATGATGTTTGGGTTACTCATTCATTAAGAATATATTATTAAAGCAAAGAGAAGAAATAATAGATGTAAATTTAAAAGACTGTGAATGGATTTGAGCAGTGGAGAAAGGCATTTAGAACTCTATTCAAAAGTCTGTTTTGTAGTCTAGTAATAGATACACTAAGAGGTTTGGTCATTGTATCTGAAAAGAAGGTCAATGCAATTGTATCTTTATTAAAAACATTGTTGAAAGCTTCCAAAGTTTTAGAATGAAAGCTTACTTTAGTTGTAGGTAAAGTTCAGAGTCTAGCAAGAGTGTTTTTATCTGCTTAAGTAAAGAGCATAGAATTTTATTAATTAATAAATATCAGAAACTGTTTGACAGATGAATAGAACAGAAATATAGTTTTATCAAACCAAGCAATAGAAGATATATAGTGGCTAATAGAAAAGCTAATAATCTGAAATAGATGTTCAGCATGAAAGTCATCTAGGATAAAGTCAGTATATGTAGATACATTAGTAATTGGTTAGTATAACATATATCAGAATTTGGTTGTGAGTAGGAGTTAGATGGAGAAGCTGTCAGCAAATGTAATTGCACAACTTGAAGCTATAGCAGTATTTTGTGTACTTTAATCATTAGGAGAACAATTAAAAAGCTCAATAATAACATTAATGATAGACAACAGAGTAGTATCAAAAACAGTACAGTATAGAAAACCAAGAAAATGGCAAAAGAACATTGTCAAGGAAATTTAGAATATGTACTTAGAAAAGAATATAGACATTTTTCAAGTTTGTTGAATTCCAAGTAAGAGCAATTTAGCTAATAATTTTACAAGAGTACTAGATCTAGAAGATTAGATGTTAAAAATGAAAATAGTAGAGTAGTTGGAAAAGCATTGAGGAAAGTTCGATATTGACAGATTTGTAAGCCATTTGAATTCCAAAATGAGAAGATTCAACAGTCTGTATTTTTGTCCAGTTTCAGAAGCAGTAGACTGTTTCTCTCAGGATTGAAAAGGACTAATAAACTATCTGTGTTCTCTTTTTACAATAATTTACAAAGCATTAACATATGCTAAAAAATGCCATGCTATAATAGTAATTATTATTTCAGTCTGGGTTGCTGCTTCTTGGTGGTCTATAATTACAAGAGCAATAAGAAAGAAAGTAAATTTTTCTTCACTTATAGATATAATTTTGTCTGGGCTATCAGGTTGTCTAAAACCATGCAACAATGATCAATAGAGGTTAAAAGCAATACAAATAGATTGGTCCAAAAATATCTACTTAGTGCAAGGTATCTGATTAGAAACTCTATTAATGAATCATATAATAAACAATTAGAAAAAACATGAGAAGTCTTTTTAGAGTTTGTTACAAAAACAGATAACTCTTCTTTACCTACTTCAGGTTCTATAGTTTTAGCTTTTATTGTCTGAATGAAAATGTTAAAATGAGTTTCAAGCTTGTGAATTGCTTGAAATCTATCTTTAGAATTTATAAAATCTTAGATTTGAATGATTTAATAAAGACAATGCAGTTTAGTATACAATGAATAGTCTTAAAAGACAGACAGTTCAAGATTCTGAAGCAAAGTAGCTCAGAAATCCTTTGTTTGTAGAAGCTTTTAAGTATTATTTAGACTTTTCTTTAAAAAATATTAGTTATAAATTCTGAACTTGGAATTTTACTTTAATAACTCTAGACTTATGATTAATGAGATAGCCTAGAGAACTATACAATTTAAGATTGAAGAATATTAAAATAATAGGTGATTTGTTATGGATAAGAATTAATAAATCCAAGATAGATTAGTTAGCTAAAGGAAAGTTTATTCTTATTGAAGTAATGAATAGTAAATATTATCCTGTAAGAGATTAGTGAATTATCTAACTATTAGGCCAACTACTAAAGATCACATACCATTATTTTTGTCAAAGTCAAAAAAAGCAATGCTTGTTTCTATAATCTCAATAATAGTTAAATGATCTGCAAAACATGCTAATTTAGAAGGAAAGTTTACAGTACATAGCTTGAGAATCAGTAGAGCCACAGCAGCTATGAAAGGTAGATTGTCAATAAAGCAAATGCAAACAATAGGTAACTGGGTCTCAGATACAACTAGATTATATATGAAGGCATAGGAACTGCTAGTTTGGGTACATCAGTAACTATGGGTTTTGGATAATAATTTATTAGGTACTTTAAGAATGTACAAGAGGTTGCTTTACTAGCCTGACAAAATTTAATAATTTTTGATACTCTGCAAACACCTATTTGTGTTTTCATAGTCGAACCCAAAATGAGAGACAAACAAAATACTGCTTAATACATAAGTATTGAGGCAGTGTTTGTCTCAAATCAACTCAAATTTGAACATGTGATTGCTATAATTACAGTCATATGTTCGATTATTGATTGATCCAATGCTCAATCTAATAATCAATCAAGATTAAGTAAGTATGAGGTAATTGTTTAGTTTAACTATGAGGTAATTAGCTAGTAATTGTTCAGTATAGTATATGTGAGTAAATTGCATAAGTATGAGGTATTCGATGAGTAATCATATAAGTATATATTAGGGTCGATAGGGTATGTAGAAAGGATAACCTTGTTTCTTCTGCAAACCCGATATTAATTCTGGTTACATTGACCCTGCCCTCCCTTACACCAACATCATGCAAGCAAGATTGGGAGTAGTCAATTTAAATTTTAATATAGTCTGTTGGATGACAGTCATGTTGATATACATCCTTCTCATGACCTGTCAGAATGACAATCAAGGTTTGCTCGATATGCAGAAGAATAAAACCCATTTGTGTTTTCATAGTCGAACCCAAAATGAGAGACAAACAAATTCCAGAATTTAGAGCTTACATATAGTTAATATGACTAGTACTACAATAAATATTCGCTTCTAAGCGAAGTCCTTGAGGTTAATGATTATTTTTTGATTATTTTTGCATAATGAATATAGATATTCTTTCGAAATTACTCGGGCAATTAGCTAATCAGACGAATGTCTGCCTATGACCATTGGAGTTAAACTCAGCATGATTAACACTAGAGATGGGCAAATCGCGGTTTTTCAAAAAATCCTGCGCGGGATTCATTAAATCTAGGTGCCGAGTAGTTGAACCTCAATTTTGATTTTCCAACGGCCGTGATTGACAAAATTTTGGCCGCATTATACATAATTTTGGCCGAAGTTTAATTTTTTAATTGTTTAAGGTTTGGGTCTGTGTGATGGTAAAATTAACCCAGGAACATATTTCACTTAGGGTTGAAAATTACATTTTACAAATTTACAATACATGTAAT